TCGCTAGCAGCCTCGCACCGATGACCTATCCATGTCATCATTTACCCAGAATGCTTTGCATGCAAATAAAATGGCTCCATCCATGTTAAAATATATATTTTTTTAATTTACAAAACTAAACAGCCTACAGTATTTTTACTGTCTTTATTTCAAAGTTAAAATAAATGTTTATCAAATAAAGTTTAATGTTACAGCTAATCGTGGATCCCTTTAAATTTCCTTATAGTTCTCAAATGCAGTTTTTTTTATCAACTTCATTTAAAGTTGTTTTCTTTTCTATTAAGGACATTAGAGGCCAGATGGAGATTATCCAAGGATAACTGTTGGCCCTCGGGCCGCATATCGTCCAAGTGTGATGAGCGAGTGTTGAGTCGAGAAGCAAACAAACATAAAAAAATAAAAATGAAGGAGTACCTGGAAAAGCTCTGGGTCTGTGCTGGGCAGGGTGGTGTGGATGATGAGGGTGATGATGTGCAGGCATGCTGCCCATGGGGCGGGGCGGGTAGAGGGGCATTGGGTAGAAAGGCGGCACCATGGCAGGGGGAAGAAAGGCGGGAGGAGGAAGAGGAGGGGGAGGAGGAGGAGGGCGAGAGAGGTTGATGCTCTCGAGGATTGCCTGACGCATCTTCTCCACCTTCGACACCAGCTCTTCCTGGAAACAAAAACTCTTCAGGTAAAACTGTAGAGATGTTAAAGCTGCAGTTCAGGTGTTGCTCTGCGTCATACCTGTCCCTCACACATGTCCAGCAGAGCAGCGCGGTCACGGGCAGCACGGGCCAGTTTGCTCTGGAACAGTTTGCCATCAAAGAAGCCCCAGGGGCAGCAGTGTTCCCATGGCAACGGCTGGCCGCAGACATCGTTGATGAATAACGCCGTGTCGACGCCGGCCATGAAGAGAGCGGCCAGCTGCACGCCACGGGCATCCACCTTCTCCACCTGAAGGACCACACACAAACAGAAGATGACAAACACGAAACTGAAGCACCGTAAAATACTGTGTGGTGAGAGCCTCAAACACCTGGGGCCTCGTGTATAAACGGTGCGTACGCATAAAAAAGTTGTGTGCGCCAGGTTCTACGCCCACGTTGGGATGTATTAAAACCAACGTTGCGTGAAAGTGTGTGTAAATACACGCACACTTTTCACCTGCCGTGAGAATGTGCGGCAGCCACGCAAAGTTTTTCAGTCGACAGTTTTAACCCACAAAGTAACGAATCTGACCTGAATCCACAGAAATATGACTTTGTTCTGTTTTCTGGATGTAAGGAGCGTCTGAACACGGTGTCAGATTTTATTTTAAGTTTGAGTTTTTATTGTTTAAACTTGAACGATCATGAAACTGAACCCCAGGACTGAAAATCATTTAACCTCAGACAAGAAAATAGAGCAGCCTAAAACTGATCAAAGAACATCAGTCCAGTCTGTAAACTTTTAATATTGTTGTCACGTAGTTGGAAAAACACGCAGAGCACAGGCCTGTGGAGTGCACACACAGCTGAGAATAAAATGTGTGAATTGTCTAAGAAACATTTAAATTCTGAGAAAAAAGCGTTGCCAACTCAGCAGATTAATTCAGAACAGCTCACCTGTGATGATTCCTCAGCCCCACAAGATTCAAACAATAGATTTGGTGCTGCATTAAGTTGTGTGTAATTTATGGATCAAAGTCAGCTGTTCCCAGTCCCACARCGCGGCAGAAACTCGCAGCGCTGCGAGTCACTCGTTTCTTTAAATCAACTATTTAATAAATATTTTCTAATTTCTACCAAACTCATAAGTTCCTCTGTGTTTACAGTCATTTATTAAAGATGTGTAAAGGTGGAAATGTCTCTCAGCCTCATGCGCCGCTGAAGACAGCAGCTTCACATGCGTACACACAAACACACACACACACACCTTTGCGAATAGCAGACTCATTTTTACAGCCCACTGAC